TAGTTCGAGACCATCCTGGCTAAGACAGTGAAGCCCTGTCTCTACTAAAAATACAAAACATTAGCCGGGCGTGGTGGTGGGCGCCTGTAATCCCAGCTACTCGGGAGGCTGAGGCAGGAGAATCTCGTGTATCTGGGAGGCGGAGTTTGCAGTGAGTGGAGATCGTGCCACTGCACTCCAACCTGGGCAACAGAGTGAGACTTCGTCAAAACAAAACAAAACAAAACAAAAAAAACAGATTCCTTCCTTTCCCTCTCTCTGCACATCACTCAATTCCTTCCTTTCTAATTTCACTTTATGAAAAGGTCTTGAGTTTTTCCTTTTCGTATGTGGTGACTGCCTCATTTCTTCATTAGATGATTGCAAGTTTCCTGATTTACCACGTTGGTGTTGCCCTTCTCTAATGTATATCCTCCAAAATAAAGTCAGAGTTTTTAGAAATTTTTCTAAAAGTTTTGATTCTGTTATATGTGCATAAGGCTCTAAATAAAAATTTACAAAGGGTATACAGAGAAAAGTCTGCCCCTTGCCCCTGACTCTTAGTCACCTCATTTCTCTTCCCAAATGTACCCACAGCTACCAATTTTGGAGAAAATAATTTATTTCTAAACGGCATCTACTTCACATCTTTCCAAAGCTTATCACTCTACAAGATAATGTCTAAACTGAAAAGCACATGAGGCATTTCAGGATTTGGTCTGTTTAACTTTAGTGGGTTTACCTCTCATTCTTCTAACAAGTCCCTCTATACATCAGATTCCAGCCCCTGTAACAATTAGCTCTTCCCTAAACAGCCTACTTCCCTCTGTGAAAAAAAATTTTTTTTTTTTTTAAGATGGAGTCTCACTCTGTCCCCTAGGCTGAAGTGCAGTGGCGCGATCTCGGCTCACTGCAACCTCTGCCTCCCGGGTTCAAGCAATTCTCCTGTCTCAGCCTCCTGAGTAGCTGGTGTTACAGGCGCTCGCCGCCACGTCTAGCTAATTTTTGTATTTTTAGTAGAGACGAGGTTTCATCATGTTGGCTAGGCTGGTCTCAAACTCCTGGCCTTTGGTAATCCGCCCACCCCAGCCTCCCAAAGTGCTGGGATTACAGGCATGAGCCACCGTGCCCAGCCCCCTCTGTGATTTTATATTTGCTCTTTTTCCTACCTGGAATGCCTTCCCCAAGTTCCCTCCATCCCCCATGATACCTGTTTCTTTCTTTTCTTTACTTTTTTTTTTGTTTGTTTTGTTTTTTTGAGATGGAATCTCGCTCTCTCACCCAGGCTGGAGTGCGGTGGCACAATCTCGGCTCACTGCAACCTTTGCCTCCCAGGTTCAAGCGATTCTCCTGTCTCAGCCTCCCGAGTAGCAGGATTACAGGTGAACACGGCCATGCCTGGCTAATTTTTTGTATTTTAGTAAAGACAGGGTTTTACTATGTTGCCCAGGCTGCTCCAACTCCTGAGCTCAGGCAATCCACCTGCCTCGGCCACCCAAAGTGTTAGGATTACAGGTGTGAGCCACTGCGCCTGGCCTTCTTTACTTTTTTATTTTTATATTTTTGAGACAGGGTCTCACTTTGTCACTCAGGCTGGAGTGCAGTGGCATGAACACGACACACTGCAGCCTTGACCTCCTGGGCTCAGATGATTTTCTCACCTCAGCCTCCTGAGTAGCTGGGACTACAGGCATGCACCCCGACGCCTGGCTGATTTTTTGTAGAGATGAGGTCTCATAATGTTGCCCAGGCTGGTCTCAAACTCCTGAGCTCAAGTGATCCTCCTGCCTCGGCCTCCCAAAGTGTTGGGATTACAGATGTGAGACACTGTGCCTGGGTGGCCTCCCTTTTGTGTGTAGAAAACATCATCTCTTAATACTTCTCCGAAAACATATTCAAGTTAAAGCTTTCGCAGACCTCCACAGATAAATCTGTTTTTTCCTGACCTCTCATGATGACCTTTAGCACCATATATGTGTTTTATTTTGTTTATTTTTTAAGAGATAGCGTTTTGCTCTGTCACCCAGGCTGGAGTACAGTGGCATCATCATAGCTCACTGCAGCCTGTACCTCCTGAGCTCAACTGATCCTCACACCTCAGCCTCCAAAGGATCTAGGACTATAGGTGAGAACCACCAGACCCAGCTAATTTTGAATTTATTTTTATTTTTTTTGTAAAGACAGAATCTCACTACATTGTCTAGACTTGTGTTTTTATTATAGCACCTATAACATTGCTTTGTCTCCTATTAGAAGGCAGAACCATGTTCCTTTGTTTAAGTCCCTAGGATCTAGTGAACTGCCCAGTACATAGTGTTTGTTTAATAAAAATAAAATATTAGTTACAATGTAGCTACAAGTAAGCTAAGGAAATATTAGCCTGCATTAATAGCAGTGTAGCACTCAGAAGTTTTAGTTCCAGCCACCATATGTAGAGATAGTCCTTGGAGAAGTGTAATATCCACCTGGCAGTATAGAGTCCAGTAATGCTGTAATAACCTTGAGAAGAAGACTCAGAGGAGTCTGCCCACTTATATTCCAATACATTTTACTGAGATGGTGTACAGTTACAACAGATAGGTCAGGAAACTGGGTGTAAGTCACAGTCTACCTTATCTTTGCTTCCCCCTGGTAGAATGTTGAGTATGTAAATATTATCTCTCCTGGATGGGTGCGGGGATGGTGGAATATAGAGGACTGCTACTGTAGACCATAAGCTCTTTCAAGGTAGGGACCGTGACTTTTCATTTTTTAGAAAAATGAAATTTTCTATAGCGTCTGGCAGTTAACAAAAGTTTGAAGAATGAAGGAAGTGAACATTTGGGGATAGATCAATGGGAGAATGAAAGGAAGACAGGGTGGAAGAAAATGTGACAAAAATTTAAAAAGGTAATTAAGAGAAAAAGCAAAGGAATACAGGAGGCTTCTTAAGACAGTAGTCTTACAAACAGTGAATTGGATTCAGTTTTTAACTCAACATGAATGGAAAAGAAACAAAACCAAAATTAAAAACACTGAGCAATTAAAGCTGCTTTAAACAGAGACTATGGGAAACTGGATAAGATGATGTAAGTTTCTATCCAATTTTTTGATCTATAATTCTAGGTTTTATCTCCCCAAAAACGCTTTTAAGTGTAAATGCCAGTTAATGACTATTTATTAAATAGAATTATAATCTACAATAGCACAAAGCAGAAACAAACCGATGTTTCTACTAAAAAAAAGGTTATGTTACTTTCTTGAGTTTTCATAGTTTAAAGAAGAGATTGGCAAATGGATTTGCAAAACTCAGCTTCAGTTTGTTCCCTTGCAACATGCTCAGTGAGTGGTACACAGCTGAGGTCCTTTGCTATCTTTTCCTTTTTTTTTTTTTCCCTAGGGTACTCTCTCTCCCACCCTTGGGCCTGAGGAGAGATGTCAGATCTTTTTCTTTCAGGTTAGAAGAAATGGCAGAACTTTCCTGGGTTAAATTCTAGACATAATAAAAACTTAAAGTAATTTAAGATGCTATTTGGGGAGGGGAGGGAGTTTAAGGTTCCCTGCCGCACACGGAAATCCCGAGAGCTATTTCTGCTTTACAGAGATCCAAAATCCAAAAATTCTGCTTTACAGAGATGCCTTGTGTAGAAATTCACAAGGCGAACAGATAAAAGTGAAAAAGCGAGACACCAAAAGTTACAACAGTAACCACCACACCACCTGACCCCCAAATACATCAGTAATCAAAGATTTCTTAACTTTTTGCTCTTCAAACAATGTGCAGTCCTCAATATAGTAGGAACTTGGTTAAGGCTAGCTGGAACTGTTCTCTGCTTATCTGGTGTAATTCTAAGCTCAAAGGCAGAAACTTTTGCTTCCCCTGCAATATCTTCCTTGGAAGAAAACAGTGCCTAATGCATGTTACTTTGATTTCAGAAACAGAGAGGAGAAAATCAGGAGAGTTGGGTAATTGATTTTTGTTGGGATTAAAAATGACATTATTAGTTTTTTACTTTTTTATATCCTTTCCATGAAGATGCAATTTTTTTTGGGGGGGGGGAGGGGCATTGACACTGGCCCAGTGCTATGACATTCCAAAACTGAGAGAATATAAACTTTTTAAAACAGAACACTTGATTTTGACTACTAATTAGAGGAGTGGAATTGAGTAACAAACTCAAACATTTTATTAAAAATAAGCAGACTTTATGCTATAGTATGGTTCCATTTATGTTTATATAATAGATTAAGTATTACTCATTGTAAGTAAAATAAATATTTGTTGATCCGGTTGATGTAACTGTAAGCCTTGTTCTCAGTCCAGTGAACGTATACATTTTACCGATAATCTAAAAGTATTAATTCCTATACACCAAAAGATTTGCGTATCATCCCCCTCTTGGAATACACATTCACTTGTACATATCCCCAGCCTGCTCCTCGCAACAGAGTTTGCTTTGGGGAAGAAATTTCAGGATCACCTCCAGAAGAAAACACCGACAGCGCTCCTAGAGCCATCGTGGTGTCCAGTAGCAATTTACGGGCTCCAAGCGAAAAAAGAGCGCGGGTTGGCGGCGGCGGTGGTGGTGGTGGTGGTGGTGGCGGCGGCGGGGGCGGGGAGGGGGCAGCGGGAAACTCCATCACAGACGCAAGTGAAAACTCCTGCGGCTTCTAGATTCCATCCAAGAAGGAAAGATCAGAATCAAGATTAGAAAGGAGTGGCAGGGCGGTGCCCCCTGCCTTGCTTTAATTCACGCGCCCCTTGTAACAAGCCACAGATCTGCATCACTCAAGCGGGCTTCTCAGTCCTCATCTCCCCTCTGGAATCACCCGCAGAAGGGTCTTCTCCGACCCCAGAGTGGTAATTAGGGAAGATCACAGCCGGCAGAAACTCTGCCAGAGGAGAAAGGAGCCGCGGGGGCGACGGTTCGCTTAATCGTTCCAGTAAGCCCCTCCGCGTGCCGGTGGGCGGGCGCCCAGGCCCGAGGACTGTCTCTTATACACATCTAGATGTGTATAAGAGACAGCCCTCCCGCAGCGCCATGCGCAGACTCAGTTCCTGGAGAAAGATGGCGACAGCCGAGAAGCAGAAACACGACGGGCGGGTGAAGATCGGCCACTACATCCTGGGTGACACGCTGGGGGTCGGCACCTTCGGCAAAGTGAAGGGTGAGAACCCCCGGGGCTAGGCTCGACCCCAGCTGGGGAACCGCACGACTTCCGCTTTCCGCACCTCTTCATCCTCCCCCGTCCGCTGCGTCCCTTCTTTCCAGGGCTGGGCAGCCCCTGTCCCGGATCCTGTGGGAGCTCTCCCCAGCCGCCGCGGGGCTGCGGCGCGGCCAGCACAGCCGGGTGGGGGTGGGGTGGGGACCAGTCGCCATGGCGACGGCGCCGCGGCCGGAGGGGCTGGTAGGTGCGAGGGGCGGGGATGAGGAGGTGCAAACTTTCCCAGGTGGGCAGGCGGGCGGCGTGGCGCGCTCCGGGTGCTGAGAGGGGGCGCCGGGCGCGATCCCTGGGGAGACAGCCTCTTGTGCGCCCGGGTTGTGCTCCCTTGGCTCAGGGCCAGCCCATCGCTTCCTTGGCGGTCCTCGGCGTTGTCCATATTTCCGTCCTCTGTAGGAGGCCGTCGATTTACCGGCCCCTGCTGTTTCCCGAGAGCGACATGTGTTTCCGCAGAAGTAAGGTTTCTTTGTGGGTAGCCGACATCATTTTTTAAAAAAGGCCATCTCGTCGGAAAGGATCACTGGTTTCCTTCGGAGCAGTTAATGAATATAAACTGGTTCAGTATTTGCGATGCATGCTTTACGTTCTGAATGAGACTGTGCCTTTAGTGTTTCCGAATTAACAGGAGTTTCTCCGTGCGAAACTTGGTTGTTAGTTCAGATGTTGCCTCCAGATAGTATTTATTACTTTATTAATACAGTTCGTTTCCACTTATTTTCAAAGCCTATTTGTATTCTGATAAACGATTATTCTAATAAACATTTGAACTTTTGTTTTAAGAAAGGCATATTAGGTGCATTGTACACCATTCGAGTGACGGGTACACTAAAAGCCCAGACTTCACCACTATGCAGTTCATCTGTGTAACCTAAAGCCACTTGTGCCCCTAAAGCTATTGAAATTAAAAGAAAGAAAAATGTGTACTCTTTCAAAACAATATTCTGGAAATAAGCTTGTTCTTCAGTCCACCAGTCCTGGCAAAAAAAAACGTTTAATTGCAAGTTTTGTGAGGTGTGATTTTTTTTTTTCTTTAAAATATTTGACTTTGCTATAAGGGATACAGAGAAAGGAAGTTTGGAACTGATGAAAATAATTCATGCATTGGCTTTGGATAAATAATAGACTGACTTGCATATACTAAGTTCTTGGTAAATATTTGACTTGAAAGAAAAAAAGTTTGTGAAAATCTGTACCGTAACTTAACTGAGCCTTACTCTCCCAGAGCTAAATAAACATTTTCTGATTTTGTCTAGGGTTAGAAGAGAAGAACCCTTCCTTCTCTTGCCATTTTCTGAGTCATAGAATTGGAAAATTGTTGTATATCCCACAGGGAAGCAACTGCCTGAACCTTCTTACGAAAATCGGCAAGGCTGACAATGTCAGGAGGAAGTAAGAAGCAAATTAAGAAGCAAATGCAAGAATTGGGTAATAACAGCCATTGGGACAGGTCCATATAAGGCCAATAAGATGTTTCTGTGCCCTGGAAGTTTTAACTTTATGTTTGGCTATGATATTTCTTGTTAGCAATTACAAACTGCTTTTTAGTTTACAGGTGTTTGTTAAAAAAAAAAAAAAAAAAGTTCATTTTTGCCCCCACCCCTTCCCAGAGTTCTGCTTGGATTAGGGTGTTCATCATTCCCCTAATATAGACTTGAATGCTTGAATAAAGTCAGGTCTATTTTTTTTTCTTTTTTCTTTTTTTATTTTTGCCGAGATGGAGTCTTGCTCTGTTGCCCAGACTGGAGTGCTGTGGTGCGATCTTGGCTCACTGCAACCTCCGCCTCCTGGGTTCAAGCAGTTCTCCTGCCCCAGCCTCCCGAGTAGCTGGGATTACAGGCGCCCACCACCACACCCAGCTAATTTCGTATTTTTAGTAGAGATGGGGTTTCACTGTGTTGGCCACGAACTCCTGACCTCAGGTGATCTACCCACCTCAGCCTCCCAAAGTGCTGGGATTACAGGTGTGAGCCACGGCGCCTGGCCAATCAGAATCTTTAACCTGTTCATTTTTTAAGTTAACAGTTAGGATGCTTTTTGCCACAAGTAATAGAAAATCCAGCTTCACCTAGTGAAGAACTTGTCTGGTTCTCCAGAGCAGGGAAGGCCAGCATACCTCTTATGAGTCTCATTGGCTCATCCAGTCCCTGTGGCTAGGAATGCCATGGGCCAATTGGCTTATGCTTGTATTCCTAAGCAGGCATTAGCAAGGGGGATGGCATTGCCCTTGGAGGAATGTGACCCTTTGATGTGTGTGTGCAAAGGAGGTGGGTGGGTGGGAGAC